GGGTGGGGGGGAGACGCGGGAGAGGGTGGGAGACCCTGCCGTGGACCGTCACGACTCATGAACGGTCAGCTCGTTCGTCGAAGCGCGTGCCTGCCCGCCCGCACACGTGCACACACATACACACACCTCCCCCCTCTTTCTCTCACTCTTTCTCCCTCTTACTCTCATATATATAGTCCAAACACACTCACACACACACACACACACACACACACACACAAACATGCACGCGCGTCTCTCACGTGATGGCCCGGTACTCCGCCATGTCTCCGGCCGGGGTGCTGGTGGCGTGTGCGTTCACGTAGCTCACGCGCTCGGGCGCGATGCCCGCATTGGCCAGGCCGCGCTCGATGCACAGCCGCACGCCTGCGGGCGTGGGGGCGGGAGCATGTGGATGAGTGCGGTTGGGTGCGTGCGCGTGCCTGTTCCCGTGTGTGCGCTGTGTGAGCTGGGAGGGGTGCATGTCAAAGAGGAATGAAAGTGGCCATGTGGAGCAATGTAGTGCCGGCCAGGCAATGCGTAATCGTTGAGCGGCTCCTCAACGTGGCTTTCCCTTGGCTGCAACCACCGCCCCCCCTCCCTCACGCCCTGCTCCCCCTGCCCTGGGCGCCGGGGCGCCAACGCATTAGAGCAAATTTGAGCCCTGCCCTGCACGCTCAAATTTGCCAACCCCTTGATCAGACCAGGCCCCATCAAACACAGGAGGGCATCCCCGTTCTTCATACCCACAACCCATTGTCCCTCCCTCCCTCCCTCCCTCCCTTCCCCTCTGTCGCTGTATCTCATCGACAATTGCACACAACAGGGCCCCCCAAGGGGCTAGTGCGCACCTCCGCCGTCTGGCAGGGGCTCTGTCATGTGGTGGGCATCACAGGTGAAGGCGCCGCCCAGGTACTCCCCTGGGGTTTCGGGGGCAGAGCAATGCAGCATTGTTTGGCTGTTGCGTTGGGGTGCATGGGGGGTTGAGTGTGGAGGGGCCAAGTCTGTGGGGCTGGCGATGGCTGGGAATGAGAGAGGCATGCGAGACTCTGCGGCGGAGCCGGAGCGGGGGCGCGCGCCGCTGGTGGGTCGTGGCGAGCGTCGCGGGCGCAGTGGGTGTGTGTGCGCGAGTTGCTGGGTCGCACCGTATATCCTGGCGCCGCGGGCCAGGGCATGGTTGAGCTCCTCAAGCACCAGGACGCCTTTGGGGGGCAGCGGGGAAAAGGGGAATGGGTTGAGGGACAAGCTTGCCTCGTTGTTGCTCTGCCGTGGAGCGCGGCTGGACCGACGGGAGGCTTGAGAACGGCGGCGGGGCGGCGGGGGCGCGGCCGGCGTCCCCGGTTGCTGCGGACCGGGCCGCAAGAGCTGTGCAGCGGGCGGCGTCGCGCGGCGTTCAGCGTTTTGGAGGCCTCCAGCCCGCCAGAAGGCCCGCCCTCTTGACAGCGGCCTGGGCATGCGCTGGTGCATGCATTCCCGCGACGGCCTCCGGGAAACGAGCGTGCACCCACCCGCGCCCTCTCCCATCACGAATCCGTCCCGGTTCTTGTCCCACGGCCGGCTGGCGGCCTGCGGCGCGTCGTTGCGCTTGGACAGGGCTTTGCACGCGATGAAGCCGCCGATGCCGCTGGGCAGCACCGCCGCGTCAGCAGAGCCTGGGAGAGGAGGGCAGGGGGCGGTGCAGCAGTGTTTGAGCGGGCGGGTCAGCCTCCTGCAGGCCACGCGAGACAGCCGTGCTTCACGCCGCGCCTGCTCGACTCCACTCACGCCCAAGCTGCCGGCACCGCATCGTTCAGTGCGGCGCATGCACGGCTGTACTTTTCTAGATGATAGCAACTTCCAGGGACCGACGGTGCCTCGCGAAGCACGATGGAATCCGCCGGCCCTAGGGGAAACTACCGACATGCCGGCTCGGCACACGCCATGTGCACTTACACATGTACACGCACACCTACACACGTCCATACGCACCACACACACACACACACGCTCGCGCGCGCGCGCAAACCCCTGACCCCGCGCACCAACCGCCCCGCCAGCCACACGCTCCACTCACACATCCTCGCCCGCCCCCCGAGCCACACCCACCGGCGAGCATCAGGTCCGCCTCCCCGCGCCGGATGTGGTCCGCCGCCGCCGTGATGCAGTAGTTGCCGGTCGCGCAGGCCGTGTTTATGGCGTAGTTCGGCCCCATGAAGCCAAGGTCCATTGCCAGCAGGGCGCCGCTCATGTTGGTGATCGCGAATGGGATGCAGAAGGGGTTCATTTTTCGGAAGCCTGGCGGGAAGAGCACGGCAGGTGGGGTTGGTTTGTGGTTATGCTTGTGTGTGGGGGCTCTGCGTGTGTGTGTGTGTGTGTGTGTGTGTGTGTGTGTGTGTTTGTACGGGGATTGACAGCAGTGCAAGGCAGGCATTATGAGAGGAGGGACTGACAAGGCGGTTTCGATCAGGGAGCATGCCTGCGCATGACTGTGCGGCGCGTAGGGCCGCGAAGGTCTTGGGGGCATGCAGGGCTTCGACAGGGTTGACGCTGCACGCACAACGCGCTCGGGAGGGGTGCCTCCCCCACCCCACCCCCTCCTGCCGGCCACCAGACCAGGCAGCCCCGGCTCACTCTGCGTCTCCAGGGCCTCCACGGCGGTGGCAAAGGTGGACATGCCGCCAAACGCGCTGCCGATCAGGATGCCGCACCTGGGGGTTGGAAAAGTGGGGCCGTGGGTGGTTCGGCCCAGGTGTCTGCAGCGGACGACCCCGCACGTCCCCTGCAGAGGTCGACGCGTTTGCCGGACCCCAGCCACGCACCTGTTCCCCACCCGCATGCACGAGTGCACTCACGAGTATGCTCATGCACACGCAGGCGCGCGCGCGCGCACACACACACACACACACACACACACTCGCGCGCGCGCATGCGCACACACGCACGCACACACCTACACATGCACGCACGCGAGCACCCACCAGCGCGCAAACACACTACTGTATCTGGTGCCCCTCATACCATCAGGAACCCCTCACACAGTCAGCCACCCCCCCCCCCCCCCCCCCCC